TAAATTCTTAAGGAATGGAGCCTATTTTTAAAGCAATTATCCCTTGATCGCGGTAATTTTTCCTTAATCAATTGCAAAATTCACAATCATAGATTAGCGACCGGGCCTCAAATTTACCAATTTAACACGACTCATCCGACGGACGAGATTTTTTTCAATTACGAAATCGAACGGTCATGCCATGCGCACGGCGCGCCGATCCGGCGAGAGGGTCCACCGGAACTTTAGAATTTTGCCAACGCGCGCGCAAAAGACAAGAAGACGGGAAAAGCGCATTCATCAATTCCCCTTCACGCCTCGCCCGTGAAAATAAATAAATTTTCTCGGAAAAGTTGCAGCGGGGAGAAATGGGAGAGAAAATCGACGCTTTCCTCGAGTAAATACGCGCTAACTTAACTGATTTTCCTTTCTCGTTCCCGTCTTCTTCCTTTCTTCTCCTTCTTCTCCTTCTTCTTCTTCTGCTTCTTCCTCTTCCTTCGTCGGCGGGGCTCGCGAGGTCAACGTACTGCGGAGCCGCGCGCACTTGCCTCGGACATTTTCCGGTCGCCGCAAGCAAGGAATATCCTCGATCCAGGTACGCGCCGCGCCGCTCCGCTCCGGTCCCCTCCCTGAGCGATTTCTCCTCCGGCCGCGCGAGCCGGCCGTCGCGGCTGGATCGAAGTGCGCTCCGGTGCGAATCGCCGGCGCTTGACTTGGTCTCTCCTCTGTTTTTTTTTTTTTTGTGCCTTTTCTCCCTTGCTCGGATGTCTGGGATTCTCGATTTGCGCGCGTGCTGTGGAAGTTGTTGTGGATGTGATTCGGTTGCTGTGCTGTTCTTTGCTCGACGGAGGTGTTTGTTAAGTGCACGGAATGTGCTTGGAGAGTGGATGCGTTCTTTTTTTTCGTTTTTCTAGATTTTCCAGATTGTGTTGTCGTGTGAGGTACAGAGATGATGAGTAGATGATCTTCCTGCTTTGAAGTAACTTCGAGTGTAACGGCCTGCGTTTAAGTGAAGAGTGTTGTGCTTGTCTCTGTGCATTTTGCATTCGTATCGAAACATCGTTGATTTTGTCATGATCTGAGTGAGTTGCTGAAGCTTTTTATCAGTTTTTTTTGGACAAAGTGTTCTTAGCGAGTGGATACATGATGTGCTTCTTCCTCTAAAACGTTCCAGATTGTGTCGTCGCATGGTGGAGAGATGCTGGTGTCCGGACAGGAGTCTGGAAATGGGGCGAGCTCTATGAGTGCCAGCAATAGTCAGCTCTTGCACGATATTGAGGCGATAAGCAGAGCTTTGTATTTGCATGAAGCCACTCAAAAGCCTTTGATCTCCCCATCAACTGAATGTCCTGGAAAAGTTGGGTGCGTCAAACATAGATTGGTTGCAGAACCAGGAAATCGGGATGACAAGGGATCGAACAAGTTCAACAAATCTTTGTCGATGTGGAATTGGAAGAAACCCCTAAAAGCTCTGTCCCATCTTCGGGGCCAAAAGTTCGGATGCCTTTTCTTCCTTCACGTGCACTCTATCGAGGGTTTACCTGTAAATTTCGATGGTGTTGGTTTTTGCGTGGAATTCAAAAGGAAGGATGAGGTGTTGAAGTCCCGACCATCAAGGGTTCTTAGAGGAACTGCTGATTTTGATGATACTTTGATGCATAGATGTACTGTGTATTGCCATAAAAGTGGGCCTCTTAACTCGTGCAAGTATGAACCTAAGCTGTTCTCAGTTCATACTTATGTAATTGGAACTCCGGGGTTTGATGTTGGTGAGCATTGGGTTGATCTCACCAGGCTGCTGCCTCTGACTTGGGAAGAGTTGGATGGAGACGAAAGTTCGGGGAAGTGGACAACAAGTTTCAAACTTGCCGGCAAGGCTAAAGGTGCAACTCTGAATGTCAGTTTCGGTTTTTCACTGGTAAGCAGAGCTAATCTTGAGTCTCATGGTAATATGACTGTTTCAGAGCTCAAAAACTTGGCATATAGTAGGCCAAACACAGAGCAACATGATAGAGGATTTCCTCAGAATTGTTCAACTGAAAAGCTTCGGCGGAGTGGGAGCGTTCCAAGCGATTTAAACCATCCTTCTCTCCAATTTGCACAGCCTCTTGATGTTAAGATGGGACATGATGCCTTTGTTGATCCTGCTATAGAATTCTCCAAATCGATCCATTATCTCTATGAGAAACTTGATCAAGATATTTTGAGTGATAAATCAGGGTCGGATTTATCATCTGAGAATTTGAAGTCATTGAAAGCAAAATCTGATCTTTGTCCTGAGCCTGTTAGAGAACCTATAGATGATGAAGGAGATGACATGGACTTTGTTGTGATAGACCAGGGAATTGAAGTACCTCAAAGTAAACAGTTGAATCCTGTTCAAGTTAGCATTCATACTCAAGATTCTGCAACTGAAACCCTAAATAAGGATGAAACCCTCATATGCGACTTGCTCTATCTGGACGAGATGAAGTGTGATTTAGTGGACCACTTAACTGGTAGTACAACGGCCGGGCTTGTAATTGGTGATAATAAAATAGGAGAGCTAAGTGTACATGCAAAGCGGTCAGCTTTGGAAGTGGAGTCAACTTTTCTTGACGCGTTGATTTTGGACTCAGCTGACTTGGGTTCTTTGCCTGCTTCAGGTCACAGTAAGCGTAAGGAAAACTATATGGAGCTTAAATATAGTTATAAAGCAAACAAAAAGGGAACCCAATCTCTAAGTTGTGATGATATTAGCGAATTTGTGACTAGTGATTTCTTGCACATGCTGGAAAGCGAGCACAGTCTCTCAGGCTCAAATTTCAATGGCGAACCTGAGTCTCCCAGGGAACAACTCCTAAGAGAATTTGAAAGAGAAGCTTTCCTTTCTGGCAATTTTATACTAGGTTTTAATGCAACAGAGGAGTGGGCAAGATTTGGTTGTGGGGCTTCAGTTGGCTCTTCTTCTGAAGATAACTCTGAAGATTCTATTCTTGCTTCAGTTCTTCAAGATGCTGAAGAGGAATACGAGCGGTCAAGTCAGTCATTGAGGCACAGAAGAAAGATCAAAATGCTTGAAGATCTAGAGACCGAAATTTTAATGCGCGAGTGGGGGTTGGATGAGAAAGCCTTTCAGAATTCTCCTCGGTGTCCCTCTGGTGGCTTTGGCAGTCCAATTGAACTACCTCCACAGGAGCCAGTTGAGTCACCTTTGCTTGGAGAAGGTTTTGGTCCATCCATTCAGACTGGAGGAGGAGGTTTCTTGAGGACTATAATTCCCTCACTCTTTAGGAATGCAAAAAATGGCATGAACTTAATACTGCAAGTTTCTAGACCAGTTGTGCTACCTGCGAGAATGGGTTCTAGTAACATGAAGGTGCTCCAGCACCTTGCATCAATCGAAATCGAAAAGCTTTCTAAGCAGATCGATAAAGCCGTGCCTTTGAAGAACATTACTGGTACGACTCTGCAACAGGTAGCCTGTGAAGCTGCTCCTAAAACCATTCGGTATGATATGTCACGAACTTACTATCTTCCGCTTTTTTTTTTTTCCTTTGCTAATTACAGATACCAGCTCAATATGTTTCACTGTTGGTTCATTGGCTCTATAATTTTATGGTCCAATGATCATATAGTTTTCTATCTCTAGTTAATAATTGATAAAAAAATTCATCTCTTATTTTAAGTGTAAACTGTTTTTTGTAGCAGGCAGGCTCTTTTGCAGCACGAAACAGCATCGAGCCAAAATTCCAAGGAACAAGAGTGTACTTTGAGTTGTAATAACCCCGTCTCGGACTTGGTGTCTCTAGAAGATATTGTGCTCTTGGCCATGGATAAGATTGAAGCCCTAACAATTGAAGGTTTGAGAACTCAATGTGGGATGACAGATGAGGAGGCACCTTCAAGTATCATTCCACACTTTGAAATGCCTGCCTCTCAAAGAATGTATGCAAATTTTCATGAGCTTATGAGCTTGGAAGACGATGAATTTCACCTTTACGATGTTCAAAATAGTGACAGTGATGCTTATGGATTGATGGATTTCTCTGTAACTTTGGATGACTGGTTGAGGCTTGATGCTGGAGTTAGTATTGGAAACCTGGATGAAACTGGTGAGAGCACTAGAAAGATCCTGGTGGCCCATCATGCTAAGTGTGAGGACAGCTCCAGAGAGAAACTGATTGAAGACATACATCCCGGTGAAGCATCTGGTATGAGGAGCGGCCTTTTACGGAACAACCTCACTGTAGCCTTCAGGGTGCAGCTGAGGGACCCTCTTAGAAACTTTGAAGCTGTTGGTGATCCAATGCTTGCTCTGGTTCATGTAGAGAGAAGATATGTTCACCAAGACGTTTCAGAGAGGAGAAATGAGGACGAAGACGGCGGAATGCCCACAAGAGATGGAATGGCCATTTCTTCGTTTAGAATCATTGAACTCCATCTGGCAGGCGTAGACTCCGAACCAGGCAAGAAGCAATCATGGGGAACTACAAGGCAGCGACAATTGGGCGCCCGGTGGTTATTTGCAAGTGGTTTGGGTAAGGCTACTAAACAACCACTTGCGAAAAAGGCTACTAAACAACCACTTGCGAAATCAAAAGCTGCGGTGAAATCATTGCTAGGAGTGAAGACGAAGGGGCCACATGCAGATGTCTTGTGGAGCATCTCTCCTTGTCCTCATGGCATTGAAAGCAATTCTAAGAAGTCTGAACGACGAACCACGCATGTTCGAAATCCTGACGTCATCTTTCTAAATGAAAGCTCACGTTCAGCATCTTGTATTTGAGCAATTCTAATCTAATTGAAGTTTCCACTTGATGCATGCGATGATTTATCCATCCTTTGTGAAGAAGCGGATCATGTCATTTTGTATATATCTCCAGAGTGAGTTGGTCTACGAAACCGAAAAGCTGGTTTAGCTAGTTAAACACGACCGCGCACAATCTACATCGACAGATCTTTTGTTCCTGGCAGTGAAACTATTTTCGTACATCACATGTCATTTAGCTTTTGTTTTTCCTTGAGCTCGTAAGCGCCACTCGACACGATCTGCTAATTTATAGATATTGAAAAGGTACCCTACAATCGCTGCTGCAATAATTCTTTGTTACACTGCAAAAACAAGAGTTGCATACAGTACAAGACTATCAGTGACTCTCGAGCTCCATTCGGAAACAGCTCTTCGATTCTACATCAGCACGTACTTCAACATAACTTCACGAATGTGAGTCGCATACAGTACAAGACTATCAGTGACTCTCGAGCTCCTTTCAAAAACAGCTCTTCGATTCTACATCAGCACATACTTCAACCAAACTTCACAAATGTGAGCACGGCCTCCGCAATGTCTGCGACTAGAAGGGCCCTTGGTGATTATGGATGCCCTCGTAGGTCGTTATTACGTACCTCGGGTCGTCTCTGTCCCGTTCAACTCTCTTCTTTACCGGACATCCTTCCACTGAGCACCGATAGTAGTTCCTGCAGATCGTTCAAGAACGAAATCATTCGGCAAGAAGACAAACCGAACCCGTACATCAGTGCTTCAAAGACAGCTTTCTAGGTCAAGTCTCCGTTTGGTAACAGGAAAATGTTTTGGCTGACAGTATTTGAGCGAGGGAAATAAACAAATAAACACTAGAGCATTGGAATCAATTTGTTAAACTGTTCTTGTCATTTTCATTAGTGAAACAATGGGCAATACCGCAATCCAACTCAAGGCAAGAACTACCTCGGATTCGGACTGTTCTTCACCATCTTCTTTCCATACTTCCTCCACTTGAAACCATCATCTAGTATCTCGACCTCGGATTTCGTCTTGAAGGCGAACCTTTCTTTAACTTCCTTCTTCTCCTTTCCGCCTTCGGCACCTGCTAGTCGCATACGCAAACTCTCTCAGGTGCGAGTCAGCTGAAGCAATGAATGTATGCAGTGCAGACAAACTCAGTGATTTTCTACATGCGTAGGAACCCTGAACACTAGCATCGAGTCGATAACCAAAAGAGAGAACGAGATGCGACGTCGGAATGGATATTTACGTCCACTGGGGCCGTCCGGGTTGCTGCTGGATCCGATGGAATCGTCAACTTCATTGGACTGATAAAAATAACTATTCGCCGGCGCCCCGTGGACCATGGACGCCGGATCATCGCCCAACCACTCATCGATCTTTAGGAACTCCGAGAGCTCGAAATCGGACTGGTCGTTGAAGTCCATGTCCGCCGAGTCCGGCGACTGGAAATTAGTACTATCGGACATTCTAGCGACGGCGACGGCAACGGCAAGAAGAGCACGCTCCTCACAATCTCATGCGTCTGTGGAGTGGAAGCGTCATCGGCGCAACACTTTATACCAAGCTTTCGAGTTCTTATCTAGTAAGGCTGCTTCTCACGAGCTTCCTTCGATGATGTAGGAAACTTCAACGTTAATTCTCAGTTGAAATGGGCACCCAAATGCGATACTGCAGGCCCCACCAGAGAAAAACAAAGGAGAAGAAAAAGGGTCCTGGCTCGTTAAGGACAAAATGGAGAGGACGAAATTTGTGGGGCTTACCAAGGATGACTTGTGGTTTAGACTTGACGCACAAGTTCTTGTGTGAACTTAGTTCGAGGGTCTCGTGCGAAGACCAACCCCTTCTCAACGGGAAAGAATTGGAGTCAACTATGACTACGACGCCTTGTGAGAGACCCTCAAGCATTCTCCTTGCATTCATCCACCATCTGAAAAATGCATATCTAGGAGGCTTTCTTGGCAACTGCTAGGGCCTAAGGGCATTCTATTCTAGTACACTTGTTCTCGGAGAATCCCGGCGCATGAACCGTCTTCGATCTTGAATACGATCCGAAGGTGTCACGAAATACTATTGCGTGTGATCCGCACTAGTGTGAACGTTCTGTCGAATTGAATCATTTCGCATCTCGAGAAATTTCGCATCTCGAGAAACAAATACGACAGGTAAATGAAAAGTAACCCAAGTAAACACGACAGCTAAATGGAAAATAGCCTTGTCGTGTTTCACACGCCTTTCATTGTGATTGTTTTTGACAGATGGGTACTGATGTGTTCTAGAAGGAAGAGTACTGTAAGAAACATCTTTTTTATGAAAGATAAGACTTGCTTTAGTAGCTCATAATGTTTATTTATGGGTCAGCAACCTCTTTCATCTGCTCGTTCACACCTGATGAGCTATGGAGCTTTGGCGTCACCCCATCTGAGAAAAGAAAGAATAATACAGCCCAAGCTTTTTCCCATATTGGATCAGGGTTTCTTGATCAAGATAAGTATATGATGGTATAATGGATTACCTCATTGGTCGGTCATAAAGGAGGTCAAATGAGAGGTCAAGTCAACTTAATAAAAATAAAAAAAAACATATATGTAGATTCAATGGACAGGAATTGGAATTCAATTATCAAATTGCTCGAGTCATCATTTTCTTTCATTATCATATTGTACTAAGATGCTCTTGCCTTTTATTCTAACAGCTCATGGCCCGATGGCTACATGGCAGACGCCTTTCTTGCCCAAGATGCAATAAAAAGCACATCGTTTGGTAAAATCCAAAATAATTTACTTAACCGGATAGTGTTGATCGAGTAAGATCGCTAGGCGAGAAACCGGAAGAGTAAAACACGGTCGCTTTTCCTCTCCATATCAACGGATTGATCGAGTAAGATTGCTAGGCGAGAAACCGGAAGAATAAAACATGGTCGCTTTTCCTCTCCATATCAACGGATTTGAACTGCCATTCGAGTCGATCTAACTCCCGAATCGGTACCAACCCTGTTGAATGGAAAATCTCCAAGGGACAGGAACAAAGCATGCGTCTTCGTGACTTCATTTTTCTTGAGTCAGCAAGCGAGGAGGGCTATCTGATGGTTGACTGAGAAGTTGTGAGGAAGCTTCTATTGTCCGAGCCAAGCCTTGCTGGATCGTCGTATTGGCCCACCTTTTGAAAACGAAAGAGATAGGAAGCGGAAGAACCGAATATCGTCTGGAAGTAATCTTTATTCCTCAGTTATTACGGGATGACACTATTTCATCAGGTCGTCGTCAAATTCAACCGGTCGCCAAGGGTACTTAGGAGCACCGTACTGTCGCAATTAGCTTGATTATGATGGTAATGGTGGATATTAGCTATCTGTCAAAATCAAGAGGGATTCCCTATGCAGCAATGAGTGATGATGAAACCTTAGAGCTTCTTCCTGGAACCCTGCTTCGTATGCATTCTCGCCAGACGATGTGGTAATTCTTGTTTCGGACCCACTTTCGTCGTCACTAGAATCGACCGCGGTTTGGAAAGTGCGGGTCTCAAATGGAGTCCACATGATTTAATGGTGGTAATCATATAGAGTGCATGAAACCCAAGCCATGCTTTCAGTTTGTTGGCTCGGCAAGGCGAGACTAAGAGAGTCACCCGGATGGCAAGTGCCTTTTGTCTTTTTCGCTTAACATCTGGACAGCAATCAACGCGGATGGGTCTGGACTGTATTGAACGACACGGATATGGGAAAAAGTACCAAAGAAGTCGTAAACGTATTGTATTAGTATCAATTCAATCCTAAACTTTTTAATTGGATCAATTTAGTTCTAAATCTTTTCATATTGGTACCAATTCAATCCATCCAACTAATTAAGTCGGAAATTGCTGACGTGGACACCGACCATCTTATGTGGCACAGTCAACGCTGACATGGACATTTTTATAATCATTTTTTTGAAAATTTTTCTTTATTTTTCTTCCATGGCCATAAAATACGAGGGCTAGCCTTGCCTGAGCAAGGGTTGCCCTTGCCAAATCTGGCGAGGCCGATCCTCGCCGGCCATGGTCTGTACTGGTATAGGCCATGGAAAAAAAAGAAAGAAAAGAAAGGAAGAAAAAAAGGGAAAAAATTATTATGAAAATGTCAATGTCAGCATCAGCCATGCCACGTAGAATGATTGGCATCCATGTTAGCAATTTTCGGCTTAAATTAGCCGGATAGACTGAATTGGTACTAATGTGCAAAAATTTAGGATTAAATTAGTCTAATTGAAAGGTTTAAGACTGAATTGGTACCAATGCAATATGTTTAAAATCTTTTTATTACTTTTCCCCATGAATATTATAGTTGGATGACTATCGCTTGTATTTGAAATTGCAAAGACCTCTTTGCTCATAGATCAGTAATATTAAATTTAGCACGCCTAAGGCGGCTTGAAAAGGTTCAGTAGTGGACCGTACCCCATGGCGTGTGTTGTCATTTGTCTACTCACAAAGTGGACCACGATGATCCTATTTAGTTCCATTCTTGGCAACTTCAATTTGTTAAAGGCCATTTTAGAAGCTTCGAAACCCTTTTATATTAAACTTGAGCGTGGAACCAAATTCTAAGTTCAACTTGGAAAGCGATAGTGTATACATTTCGTATCCCGACACTTCATCTCACAGCAAGATCCGTCATGATGGTGCGACCTTGATGCCAAATTGAATACGTCCGAGTTATAAGTATAGTCGAAACGGAAAAAGAAATATATAAAAAACGAAAGTAACATTGTAAGGGCATATCCTAAATTGGCAGACCGTCCTTTCATTGTCGGTCTCTCTCTCTCTCGATTATGTTGGTACCGGTCGCGATTTGAGTTAACAGCCGTGACATGGCGGTGATCTAGACGAGATTTGGGACGGCGGACCCCGTGCGGGATCGATCTAATTATGTTCACCCCAATTATGAGCAGCGTTATTAGGCAAAAAAATAATAAGAAGTGGGCCCAACCTTTCGTCGCGGCCCATCTTGGCCCAATAACTATCCCAACTAAGCTATGGGATGTCGTCCTAGAGCCAAATGGGCCCAAAACGAGGCCCTGCTCGGCCCACTAACTAGCCCAACGAAGCCATAGGATGTCGTTCCGGAGCCAAATGGGCCCAAAACGGCGCTCGCTCTTCTTCTTCTGCGTTTCAGTTGAGACTGCGCCTCTTCTCTTCTCTTCTCTCCGAGCTGCTCCGACGGCGAGCGATGCGCCCGTCCGCCCCGTCAGCGGCCGCCAATAAGGCGGACATCCGGCGGCTGAGCAACGCCGAGCGCTCGGCCTACTTCGCGCGCAGGGAGGCGGCGAAGGTGTTGCGGTGCGTCCTGCAGGGCGACGCTCGGCGGCGGGCCGTCGGCTCCGTCAAGTCGCTCGTCTACAGCCCCTCCGTCAGGAACAAGCGAGCCACTTTCGCCTTGGTGTGCCAAACGCTCAAGCGTAAGATATTTAGATTTACGCGCGGTGCATTCGTGAGCTCTTGATTCCGTCTTGCTTCTCTCGTATGGAAGGCTGCGTTTCGAAAGCCGTTGCCTGCTGGAGTTGGCTTAGTTTTTGTTCCGGCGGTAGAGTTTGTCTCGAGTGATTGAGATTGATTTTGTATGATGGTTTTACGTTCTCTACTGGTGCTGAAATTTATGATTTGGTGATGGTATTTCCATGATTTACGGCAAGTGGTAGCTGCGTTCTGTTTAATATTTGGAATGGACCATCATATGGTGTTACCAGCATTATGATATTGTCGAAAGTGACGAGGTCGCATGGTTTGGAAATGCTTGATTTTGGTCGAAACCAAAACTTAGAAATTTCAATGGATGATGAATTCTGTGCAATCGAAATGAAGCTTCAAAGTCTCATTTGAAATAGAAGCCACGGGGGATGTCTCTGTTTGTAAGGTGTTGAATGACGGAGTGGGAGAGTGATGATGATAGCTGAAGTAGAAGAGAAGCCCCGCTGATTCTACTTATGGAAATCCCTTGTCCTTGGATCAGCCCATTGCCATTTCACTTTCTGCTTGGCAGTTAGTCAAGTGGCAGTTTGAACTGGCACGTCCCACATGTGGCATTGTGAGAGGATGGAAATGAATCCACCGTTCTTCTAGATTGATCCAAGGCAGATGTAGTTTGAGTTTAGAAAGTCAAAACCCAGATAAGCACTTCCATTTGGGCCAAAAACATCCTTCACTGCTCAGCATCTTTTGCTGAAGTAGCTTTCTGTAAAAGAAGAGCCACCCTTTGAAATATATAAGCAAAATTGTTCTTAAATAGCTGCAAATTGGAAACCTTCTGGATCTGATAAAAAAATGCATCTTGATTAATTATGTAGTGCATGGATTGTTTTAAAGAAGATACTTTCGATTGAAAATCCATTTCTTGCTTACTTTTCTGATTTATGTGATCTCGACATTGTGTAACTGGCCGCTGGCTCAGATTTAAGACGTCATTGATTTAGTAGGCTGTATCAATTGCTCTAGTTCCGTTTTTCTCCACTTTTCTTTTTGTTCAGTTCTTTGTTTTATTCCATTTCCTCCATGTGGTGCAACTTTTGTGTAATTATTGCTTTTGAGTTGCAAAATTAGTACTAATGGAGTATATATCTACTGGCTATTTTCAATATGCTTTTTAACTCAATATTCCTCATGATGCACGCTAACAACAAATTAGATTAGAGTCTTCTGTCAAACATTTGGCTTCATCCCTTGCTTTTTCAATAGAATGATCTTTTATCTGATGCTGTCTCAGATCTTCCTATTATAAAGAAGATCTTGGAGGATGCTCACATTGTAAATAGCAAGTGGAAGGTAAAATTATCCATTCACTTGTATGCCTACTCATGTAACGAAATGAATTTCTTCTTGCGATATGAGGATGAGATAATTTAAAGTTTTCTTTGACTCTGTCTATCAGTTATATTTGCTAATATACTTACTTATTGTTGCTTTGAAATATTCAATGACGACTCAATAAGTTGCAAGTTCCACTTCTCACTATAGTATACTGTCGGAAGAGAATAATGCTAGAGATACTTAGACTCATATATCGAATGGATTTACTAGATGAATATGATAGATTCCTGTTGAGTGCTTAAATGGGCCCACAAACATAAATAATTACTTATGTTTACCACATCATTTAGTAAACTCATCTAGGATATGGGTCTTAATATCTTTAGCATTTCTTGTCAAAAAAGTGTTCTCGGGAAACTTTTGTAATCTTCAGATGAGTATCTCTTGCATTGGTTCTTTAGATGTGGGAAGTGTCTGGTTTTTGATAGGACGTGCCAAATTTCCAGCTTATCCAGCTATTGCTTAATAACTTGGCTTGCACATTTTATGTTCTCTACTTTTGCTCTTGCAGAGAAAAGAAGACTTGCTTTTCATAGCGACATACGACGTTCTCTTTGGTCAAGTAGGTCATTAACTTTCCTTAGACTCAAGAGTGCATCGTGTTTCAGTATTCTCACTGCATCGGGCTAGCTTATGCTTACTGTATCCTGGACAATAGTTCAAGTTTTTTTTTCTCTTTAATTTGTATGGTGAATGAAATGCTAGGGCTTTTCCAGTGTGAACACTTAGCAGTAATCTAAGGAGTTGGGACCGTTAAAAAGCAAGAAGCACATCATTCTTTATGTCTCCTCCCATATTTAGAAACTAATGATAAAGTGTTTTTTCACCAAGTAGACAAGTGTATTAGTTAGGGCTAGTATATCAAACCTATTATATGGGCTCTTCTTACATGCAGCTTGTGGTTGTAGGGAGGTGCTTGTTGCTTCAGGGATTGGCATAAATATATGGTCATTGAATTTGGTCCATTTGGTAATGATTTACTATTAACTGCAGCTGATTTGCAAGAGTACTCTGTGCTGCAGGCAAAGCAGTCAACTGGTGATGCGGAGGAATTTATCATCCACCATAAAATTAAGTTGCAGTCAGCTTTAGAACAATTGTTATCGAGAAAGAAAGTCAATGGTGTAGATGAATTGACAGCCCTTTATCAAAAAGGAGGTCTATATTCGTTCCTCTTTTAGCTTTATTGGATTCCATTCTTTCATTTTGAGGCAGAGCTTAATCATGCTTGTGTTGCAAAATTCTCAGAATTTGTCCATTTAAACTATTTTGCGCTGTTTTTTAAAATCCTACAACCCCCAACACACGCAGGCAGTTTTTTTCTTTAGTTCCATTCTGAGAACTCAATGTAAGTTCAATGTAGCACAGAAATGACACATTAATATGAAATGGACTTGATCATTAGATTAAATAGGATGGTCGTTTAATTTATTTAAATCAGTGATTTGGGGATCTATTATTTCCACATATTTTGTTTGAATAATGAGTTTTAGGGACTATCAATTAGAGAACTCTTAAAAGAAAGGAACTTGTACTTGAACGCAGCTACTTTCAAGTCTTGCTTTTAGTTGGATGGTCATATGGCCGTGGTGTTTCTGACGGAGGGAATTGTGCTGCCTTTCTGCCTATATGTCCTATCCTTTTATAAATCTGAACTAGTCACCAATTTCATTTCAGTTGTTGAATAAGATATGCAAATAACACCTACTAGACTGTGATGTTCATGTAATGCAGCTTCTGATTTCTCATGCAGATACTCCTAAACCGCGATACGTTAGAGTGAATACTCTGAAATTGGAAACTAGATCTGCAATGCTTGAATTGGGAAAGCTAACTAAGGTATTTTGCTAGTGTGAATTCTTATTGGATCCATTGCATGCCCGAGTACATCATGTGTGCATGAAATAACTATAAAGTGGACGAGAAGAAGATTTTAACTGGGGAATCTGCAACTTAGAAGAACAGAGACAAATGGGTGTTGGTCTTCTTGATCCCTCCATTTTAAGTACTGTGTCACCTTTGATTGACAATTCTATTAGTTAACAACCTGTACTGTTAATGATTTTGAATGCTGTGTAACCTTGAATTTACAGTATGTCCACCCTCTGATGCTTTTTGATGCATTAGTATTTCCCAATTAAGTGATGGACAAGATCTCAATGACACCATGGTGTGTTCTAAGAATGGAGTTTGCATGCTGTTCCTTTAAATTTTGAGTTTTCATTGGCTATGTACTGAAAGTTAATGGGATTTATTCTTGTGTTACATAGGTTCAAAAGGATAACCTGCTTCCTGACCTGCTTATTCTGCCGGCCGGTACTGATTTGCATGATCATCCTCTTGTCTTGAACGGAAGTGTCTTTATGCAAGTAGGTGTCAGGAAAAATTACACTTCAGCTGCTGTCATGATGTGGTTCTAGTGTGTTTTATCTAATATTTAGTTTGATGGATGTTCCATGTGTTTTATCCAATGTTGAGTTTGGTGGAGAGAGATGTTTATTTTGAATATCTAATTTTGCAGGGTAAAGCAAGCTGTATGGTTGCAGCAGCCCTTTGTCCTGAGCCAGGCTGGGTGGTGAGTTGCTTTTTGCTACTGTTTCTAATGTTCTCTCTCTGAGGTCTACTTTAATCTCAATGAAGATACCTTGCCATTTTTCCTGAAATGGTTCACATATTTGATCCTCCTTTTCCAAAGGTTCTTGATGCTTGTTCTGCACCTGGAAACAAAACTGTCCATTTAGCTGCTCTCATGAGGGATAAAGGAAAGATTGTAGCTTGTGAACTCAATAAGCAGAGAGTTCACCGTTTAGAAGATACTATCAGGCTCTCTGGCGCTTCCAGTATCCTTTTGCCCCGATTACCAGTATTTCGGCATCTACTGACACCTAGATTGTATGCATCTGTTTGTATTTTATTTACAACTGGTGCGTTGTCTTAACATTGGGAACATTGGTTTAACCTGCTTGAGAACATTGGTGATTCACTTTTGCATTCTTGGGTTCTTCTCTTTGTCATGTAAGTATTTAGACTATTGTCCGCTTATTGTGAGCCTTGATAGCTGCTAGACATCCATGTAGTCCACGGAGATTTTTTAAATTTGACCCCAAGCGTTCACCCATACAACAAGGTAAAGAATCATGACATGTATTCCATGGTATTCTTGGTTTAACTGCACATGTTTTCGTGGTGCTTTGCAACCGTCATTTATGGAACCTCACCCCCAGAAAATTATTATTTCCATTTCTTCAGGGGGGGTGGGGTGGGTTGTCTGTCTTTCCTGTGCTTTTCTACACATAGTCACGAGAGTTCACGTTTGCAGGTCCGAGCAATTCTTTTAGATCCGTCCTGCTCGGGATCTGGGACATCTACTGAGAGATTGGATCATCTGCTTCCTTCTTACACAACCGGTAATTATCCATTATTTATTCAAGAGTTTTATTTTAAATAGTATCCCATGGCTTTCTGTTTTCAGGAGTTAATGACTACTATCCATGTCTCGTATCATATATATCATATCTGTGCATCTTTTGCATATTACTATATTAATAATGTCCAAAACCCATTGATATGTCTGGGTTATCCAGGTCATGCAGCTGATGGTACAGAAATAGCGAGGCTCAATAAACTTGCAGCTTTTCAGAAGAAGGCCCTGACACATGCATTATCTTGTAAGGTTGCTGATCGATTCTAAGACCATTAGTAATGCAGCGGAAGGATCTCATGTATTTTTCTCTGTACAGTTCCAGCTGTAGAAAGAGTCGTTTATAGTACGTGCTCCGTCCACCAGATTGAAAACGAAGATGTAGTACAGTCTATCCTCCCTCTTGCTGCATCTCATGGGTTTCGCCTGGCAGCTCCCTTACCCCAGTGGACTCACCGTGGTCTTCCAGTTTTCGAAGGCGGTAAGTGCTGTGTCATTTGATTTTAGCCTTCAGGAGGACTCTTTCTTTGCTCGCTTTAAAAGGGCCTAATACCCAAAAAAACCCCAAACTTTAGTCTTTGTCCCAATTATATTCTAAACTTTTTTTTGTCTCATAAAAAATCCCAAACTTTTACTTTTGTCCCAAATCTACCACCGTTAACTTTTCCGTCCAATATTACCGTTAATAATTATTTTTTATTTTTTCGAATTTTTTTTATTTTTTTTTATTTTTTCTTTTCTTTTCTTTTTCCTTTCCTTTTTTTTTTTTTTTTCCCTTCACCTTCAACCTCTGGCCGGTCGCCGGTGCGGCGACCGGCCAGAGGGGGGGCTGGCGAGGCTCAACCTCGCTGGTGTTGGGCGAGGTCGATCTCGCCCGCCCCCGGCGAGGTTCGTCCTCGCCGTGCACTTCGCCAGTGGCCGGCGGGACCGAGCCCTCGCCGGGGGCGGGCGAGGCCGACCTTGCCCAACGCCAACGAGGTTGAGCCTCGCCCGCCCTTGGCAAGGTTCGTCCTCGCCATGGCTAGCAAGGCTTGGTCCCGCCGGCTAGTGGCGAGGTCGAGCCTCGCCGCGGCCGGTGAGGACGAGGCCGGCGGGACTGAGCCCTCGCCAGCGTTGGGCGAGGCCGACCTCGTCGGCGTTGGGCGAGGCCGAGCCTCGCTAGCCATGGCGAGGACGAACCTCGCCAGGGGCGGGCGAGGCCGACCTTGCCCAACGCAGGCGAGGCTCGACGCCGGCCAGAGGTTGAAGGTGAAGGGGAAAAAAAAAGAAAAGGAAAGGAAAAAGAAAAGAAAAGAAAAAATCAAAAAATAAAAAATTTTTAAAAAATAAAAAATAATATTAAAATAATTATTAACAGTAATATTGGACGGAAAAGTTAACGGTGGTAGATTTGGGACAAAAGTAAAAGTTTGGGGTTTTTTATGAGACAAAAAAAAGTTTAGGATATAATTGGGACAAAGGCTAAAGTTTGGGTTTTTTTTTGGGTATTAGGCCCTTTAAAAGTCGGTCTCGGCCTTTGCCTCCTGAATCACTGTTCCCTTGTCATGCAGCTGAAAAGTTGCTGCGGACCGATCCCGTAGAGGACAAAGAGGGTTTTTTCATTGCACTGTTTGTCAAAGAACATGTCGACAGGCACCGAGGAATTCAATCTGGATTGTCTACTCAGAAAACCAACAGGAGAGTCTCCGGTTCGACAAAGAAGAGATTTGTAACGGGTACTAAATTGTCCAGGTTGCTTTTTTACTCATCAGGAATGCAGACTAAAACTACTTGAGAATCGTCATGATATTTGCCTTTCTTGGTATTCTAATTGCATGTCATTTGATCGGTTCCACTGCGAGTCCTATAGAGAGCATCTAAAACTTGATTGAGCAAATCGATCGGTCTTGACGAGTCCTTGAAAAATATATTCGAATCGTCGGAATACTGCAATTAGCACACCGTCCCGAAGTGAACTTGTCTCGCTGCTCTATTTGCTTAAGTAAGTTCAGCATGCGACTGGAGTTCAATTTATCAGAACTTGTCTTAGTAACGTTCAAAAGGTGCCACCGGTCTTTCTCTGTGCATTCATCAGATTCAGCAACTCAACAAAGATGCGCTCCTCCTCGTCTTCGATCCTCGAATTTCTTAGGTTGTGCACCCGTTCAAACCCACGAAAGTGCTCCATTGGGGTCGATATGGTTTTCTAATTCCGTGAGGTTTCTCAAACGGGACAAATCGATCGCGGCTCTCAGTGAAGAGCAGACCCTGACATGAAGTTCCAATAAAACTCCGAGGAAATCTGCGGAGCGAGCTGCGGATTCACGGAAAAGATTCCGACCGTGATCGGTCGGAGACAAAAGGTCAGATGGGAACGTTGGCCATTCTAGGTATGTCTGATTCTTGCATACCGCGATATCACCGGTTTTTTCATGTCCATTGATACGACAACCCCCCGTTGAGTAACAAGACTTATGCAACAAACTCATTCCGGAAGACCCCCACACAACCAGACTTTAACACTACTACTCACACCCGACAGAAGAACAAAAGAAGAAACTTCTTTCTCGTTTCTTCGACCCTCTTATTCTTTCTCCATATTATAGGCCCTGGACATAGTACACGCACAAGTCACGGGCAGTTTTAAGCGATCTGGACCTCGATGGTTTTGGGCTTCTTGGGCTCCGGCGGCGGCCTCTTCTCCACCGTCACCGTCAGCACTCCATCCTGGTACGCCGCCGCTATCTTCTCCGTGTCCGCGTTCTCCGGCAGCACGAACTTCTTCAGGAACTTCCCCAGCCTCCTCTCCATCTTTATGTAGTTCAGCAGCCCCCCTCCCGCCCCGTCGTTCTGGTCCTTCTCTTTCTCCCTCTTCCTCTCGCCGCTCACCACCAGCACGTTCCCGTCCTCCACCTGGACCCTGATCTGGTCCGGCTTCAGCCCTGGCATGTCGAGCACGAACACGTACGAATTCGGGTACTCCTTCACGTCGGCGGGAGTCGCCGCCATTGCCTTCCTGTCGCGCAGGAAGGCGCGGGACGGGGCGTGGTGGGACTTGGCGTCGGCCTCGTCGGAGAGGTCGAGGAGCTCGTGGAGGGTGTCAAGGACAGTGGTGTCGAAGCCCATGTCTCTGAGATCCATGCTTTTTCAGCTGCTAAGCTTTGAAACTGAAGTGTGTCTCTCGTGTTTCTTGGTGCAGTTGAAGTCGTGGGAGTCTGTGGGATTTATATGGAGGTGACGAAGTCGGTGGCGCGACGGTAACCTTGTAGATGTAGATGCTTCGACGAGGCTCTGGAATTCTCATGCCAAGGAGATTTTCCTGTTGTCCAAGGTCTCTCAGGCTATGATGACAGGTGGTGATTAAGCGCACAAGTCACTGACACATCACAGAGCTTTGCATGGCATCATTCATATCTTTTGTTTTTCCAATTTTTTTTCTGCCTTCCTTGAATTTGAAAACCCAACTATAATAAATAATGACCATCGATCTCAAACCTTAGTTTAAGCTAAAATAGGATGCCTGTGGTAATTCGATTTTTGTTCAGGTAACTAATGGATGGAAAAACAAATAGAGAGAGAGAGAGAGAGAGAGAGAGAGAGAGAGAGAGAGAGAGAGAGAGAGAAGCTCCAATGATTAGACCAAAAAGCATTTTCACAATACTTCCTGGTTTCCCTTCAAAATGCCAAAAAAAGAAAAAAGGATCACATTGGTTCCAAAACAATCTAATAACTACTGTTAATATTTTTTTTTTTGGAGATATAGAAAGTTTACTACTAATTGAGATAAAAATCACAATTAGTCCTAAACATGTTGGATTAGTGTCGATTTAGTTATAAACATTTTGATATAGTGCTAATTCAGTCATTCTGACTAATTTTGGTAGGATATTGCTGATGTGGACACCCGCCGTACCACGTAAGCCGGTTGGCATTGACATGGATAACTTTTAATAATATTTTAGTATTTTTTGAATTTTATTATTTTATTTTCTTTCTTCTTTTTCTTTCCTTCCCTCTCTTCTCCCTCTGGCTGGTTGTGGAGGTTCAGCGACCGGCCAGAGGCCAGGGCCGGCGAGGTCAACCTTGTCGGATGGTCGCAAGGGTGGCCTTGCGCTCGGCTGCGAGGCTCGAGCCCTTGCTAGAGGCCGCGAGGTCAAAGGCCATGATCTCGCGTCACCGACGAGGGCAAGCCTTGCCATGGCTGGGTGAGGCTACCCTCACCTTCACCTCTCTAGTGACCGGTCGCCGAACCTCGGCAATCGGCCGGAGGAAGAGGGGAGGGAAGGAAAAAAAAAGAAAAAGAAAGAAAAGAAAAAAAATTCAAAAAAAATTATTAAAAGTTATCTATATCAGTGCTAGTTGTACCATGTAAGCCGGTCGGCGTCCATGTCAGTAATATTTAGCCAAAATTGGACGAAAGGGCTGAATTGACACAAATACAATATGTTTAAGACTTTTTTGACACTTTTTCCGTCAAAACGAAATTCAGAAGTGTGGACATTGCTAATCGAACCTTTGTATTAGTTGTAAATATTCTAGGATATTTAAGATAGAGGGAGAGAATAGAGAATCGATAAAAACTATATTTTTACTCAATTAATTCATATTACTATATTAGAATCAAGGATATTTATATCCAAACAATACATATACAAAACAAAATAACTAATAAGAAAATTAGTTATTTTAGAGAATAACGAAATAACAAATGATATTCTACTAATAATATCTCTAACAATGTTTCTTAATAGGGAATTCAATATCCACAAATATTTTTTAACGAAAGAGTAGGCTTATAATCTTTATTATAAAGATATTCTAGTAATTAAAGAACTCAAAATTTATTGCTTCGTGGTGGAATTTGGAAGAGGTGGGATGTGGAGAAAGCATCGCTCCAAAAGCAATCGTGAGCCTCTTTCATACGTGGTGAGGTACTAGGTGGCCCCGACCTCCACGTGGCTTTAGCATATGAGTGTTCGGGTCGAACTGGACCGGTTCAATGAATAACTACTATCGCACGAACTCAGAACATGTGTGTCTATATTATTTTTCTATCATATAATCTTTACACGAGACTCACATGATTAATTGAGATGGCGTATGCGAGCTTCACTTCATCTCAATTGCTAGAGAAATTTCTTCTCGAATCATGTCGTGAAGATTTTTTTATGTAAATCGGGCTGCTATATTCCGATTTAGTTGCCAATATTCTATGATGTTAAATTCAATTGATCTAGTATATGTTAATCTGTGATTGATATAATACATATTGAAAACCCTTATTAGATTCATTACCCAGAGACAAGTTTCATTACGCATATCAGAACCCCATGCAAAGTCATGCAAAATAACAGAAGGAACTACAAGCGCACCAAAACTTGCCTAGACACAATTAGAACAGGACACAATTAGAACAGGCCATCATCAACCAGCCTCCACTTCAATGGTCTTGGTCTTCGGCTCCGGCGGCTGCACCTTCTTGACGGCGACCCTGAGCACCCCGTCCTGGCACGCCGCCGTCACCGTCTCCACATCATCGTTCTTTGGCAGTGCGAACTTCCTCATGAACGTCCCGGTCCTCCTCTACATTCTCAGGTAATTGGCCCCTTGTTCTTTCTACCTCTTCCTCTCCCCGCTCACGATGAGCACGTTGTCGTTCTCTATCTGGACCTTGATCTTGCTAGCTCTTATCTCGGGCATGTCCACGACGAAGACGTAGGAACTTGGATACTCCACGATGTCAGCGGGAGTCGTGGACATGGCCTTTGCATCACGGACGTAGGCACGCGAGGGGTTGTTCCTCGACTTCTCGGGTGTTGCGGAAGCAAGCAATCAAAAAGTAAAAGTAGACAGAACAAAAAAATAAATCGGACATCAGATTTACGTGATTCGGTCGTAGTGACCTACGTCCACGGGGAGAGCAGCACGAAATTCCACTATAGATCAAGCTATACAACGGAGATTACAACCACACTAGAGTCACTCGAACACTCTAAGTGTTTTTCAAGCCCTAATTACACCCAATAACTCATGTAGTGTTTAACTCACAATTTTTCACGAAATAATCTCTTAATCTCACGAAGGAATTAAAGACAAATTCTTACCACAAGAATTTAATCGGCTACAACACAGTTGGATATCTTCAGGATGTAATTCCTTAGTAGAAGCTTCTCTTTGATCATCTTCACAAATAACGTCCCTTCTTATTTATATGCAAGAATTTGATCTAAATTAGGAAACCTCTTTTCAGGAGACCTTCAATAATTAGGAAACCTTTTCTAACTAGGAAACCATTTAATTAGCAAACCTATTCAAAATAGGAAACCTACTTGAACGAGGAAACTTTCCTTTTTGGACTCAAAATCGAGACATAATTTTAACATCGGGCTTGTCGGGGAAGTCGAGCATGTCTTCGAGGATCGCGAAGAGGCACAAGTCGAAACCGAGATTCCGCTGATCCATATGTTGTCTGCTTTTCCTCGTCCAGAAAGGAAGAGGGACCGTGTGTGATTGTGGGATGAGGAGGCTGGTGTTATAGTTTACCGGGGTTTTATAGAGTAGGTTTAAGGGGGGATCGCCATGAGAGATGTCTTGAGAAAGGTCTGGAGACGAGTACAGTGGACTGTTCATGATGTTTTTTGAGGTGCTTCGGTAATCTTCTGCAATTTACTATAAAGATTACTAAATAGCGACATTCCCCTTTTTTAATGACACGTAGTCCATTTGATTCATCTATAGTAATCAATCTTATTTCTCTATGATAGAGCACACTCGAACGTCGAACAAAATTCAAAATTCAAAATTTGCCATCGTTTTAGCAAATCCTTCATTAGGTAAGGTTTCTTTCCTTGATCAAAGGCTGTAAGGAAGGATTTAAATTTAGATTTAAAATGTATATAAAATAGTTCGAAAGATTATTTTTAAAATAAGTTTTCAATCATATAGTACCCACAATTCGATTATTACTTAGTTTAATAAATAGAACTTGGAACAAAACGTGTCGAAATTTGAGATTGACAATCGCCTATGAACTATGGCTAGAAAAAAGAAAAGAAGAAAGAAAACTACCATTGACTAATCCTTTCTAAACATTGATTTTGTTTATCGGTTAGAAAGTCCAATCCAAAAACTTAAATCGAGAGATAGAGGAAGAAGGTAATATAAAGCACAAACGAAATTAACTAGGGCATAATTTGGCTTTGATACCATGATAAAAGGTTCAACCCAAAAAGTTTAAACTGATGGGTGGAGAGAGAACATGTATATAAAAAGCATGTAAAATCCACAGTTAGGCGATATGGAACAATCATACTTTAGAAAAATTTGAGGTTGAAAGTTAACTTATAATTTGTTTCATATGCCTCATAAATAAAAGAATGATACAAGCTCCTACTTGTGGGGGCAAATGTATGATACAAGCTTCTTAACAAAGGAAGCATGACGGGATCATATCATTAATCAAGGGTCTAGGGTCCCCTATGAGAAAAAAAGGGGCCGCATCCCACGTGCAAAATTGACTGGTTACCAACATAAAGATAATTTATGAACTGTAAGATAACTTTTGCATTGCAAATACTTAAGAACGTAAAGGTAATTTAATAACTCCGAAGCTAATTTTACGAACACAAAAATATGACTTACAAACATCATTTTGCAGTTATGAGACAATAAAGATGTCACTACAATACCCACCTATGGATAGCTCAGTTGGTTAGGGTGTACTTGGGATTGTGTGGTTAGGCGCACTGGTCCCAAGTTCGATTCCCCAGCTAAGCACTTATGATTTAAGTGGGGGGTCATGGCGGTGGGTTGCTGTTCTAGTCTCTCCCGAGGAATAGTCGAGGTGCGCGCAAGCTGGCCCGGACACCTCGGTTACCAAAAAAAAAAAAAGAAAAAAAAAGAAAAAAAAAGATGTCACTACAATTAGACCTTGTAAGCAATTTATTAAGATCAAGTATAATTAAGATCATCAACAATTAGCACTCACTCAATTTATTAATTACAAGGGAAATGAGTACCTTAGAGGAGCATTACATCTTATAGGGTAAATTGCTACTTTGAATTACTTACTATATTGTCTTAAGAGATGTTACTACTTTGAAGGTACATCACTCATTTCATCACATGAGAGTGCTTACACTTAGTAATTTCCTTATAACATCATAAATTACCTCATACCATCGCAAGTGATATAGTACTTGCTTATTGACCTAAAGCTATGGTAAATTGGCTAAACAACTCATAATATTATTGCACTTACTGTTTGTACAGTTTTATTAAAAAT